GAAGGAGAGGGGTGGTGGTGGGCAGTGAGATAGAGGGGGAGGGTGGTGGGCAGTAAGGTAGAGGGGGAGGGTGGTGGGCAGTAAGGTAGAGGGGGAGGGTGGTGGGCAGTAAGGTAGAGGGGGAGGGTGGTGGGCAGTGACGTAGAGGGCGAGGGGGTGATGGGCAGTAAAGGGGAGGAAGTGGTTAGTGATGGAGGGGAGGGGGTTGGTGGGCAGTGAGTGAGACGGGGGGTGAAGGTGGGGGTGGGGTATTGAGCCTCGTCGCCGTGTGTGGGTGGTGGGCGCTCATCGCGTCTTCGTCGTCGCCGTGCGTCGTTTGTAGTCCCTCGTTGTCGTTGTCGTCAGTCGTTTGTACGCCCTCGTCGTCGTCGTCGTCCGTGGTTCGTACGCCCTCGTCGTCGTCCGTCGTCTGTTCGCTCTCGTGGTCGTCCGTCGTTTGTACGCCCTTGTCGACGTCGTCGTCATACGTCTTTCGACGCCGTTGATTGGGGTCTGTCCTGCCTGGGGTCGTTTCGTGTCGTGAGGTGGCCACTGACGGGCGGCATGCCCCTTCCTTTGGGGAGGGGTGGCATGGTGATGTGGGGGGTGCTGTCCGTCAATCGCCAGTGGGCGGTCGACAGCTGTGGTGTTGTGTTAGTTACGTGGGTGGTCATAGAGGTGGCGGGACTTACCGTACCCAATATATACTGACGACGACATCGTCGTCGTCCGTCTGTGTCGCGTAGTTGCCACGTCGCCGACTGCGACGTGGCCCAGCTGGCTCGTGGGGTCGTTCGTGGTTTGGGGGCCGTGGTGTGCACCGCTCGTCGATTTTCGTGGGCGTCCTGGGCGCTGGTCGTCAATCGTTCTGGGCGCTGGTCGTTGTTTGCCGGTCGTGGTTTCGTTGATTGGGGTTGTCGTTGTTGCTAGGGGGTCGTGGTCGTTTGTTGGGCCTTGATCGTCGTTTGCTGGTTGTTTTCGTTGCATGTGCGGTTGTTGTCAGTTTTGAGCGGGTGGGGTTGTTAGCGGCGGCGGGGGTTGCGAGACCTGGCATGGCGGCGGCGTGGTGGTGGGGTGGAGCGTTGGCGTTGACGTTGACGTTGACGTGTGGTGGTTGTGGAGAGGAAAGAAGTAACGTCACTGTGACTAAGTCACAGCGTGTTAAACTCCATAAGACGCCCAAATCTGTAGTGTACGACTTCATATTGTATGACCTTTCTTTCTCTATGTTTAGACACATATGACTTTCTATCATATGACCTTTTAGTGTACCACTTTCATCTACTTCTTTTCTTTTTTATATTTAGATACATTTCCTTTAGTACAAGTAGCTCTACTTCTCAATGTTCTCAGAGTCCACAAGATACCAGTACACACTTTTGTAGTCTGAAGAAGGGGACACTAAAAACTCAAACAGCAGGTCCTACAAAATTTTGTAATGAAAAAGCGGACAGTACAAACTTTGTAATGAAAAAAGGGGAGACTACAAATTTTTGTAGTCCCAAAAAGCGAACACTACAACATTTTGTAATAAAAAATTATAGTCTCAAAAAGCTGGTACTACAAAATTTTGTAATGAAAAACCGGGTAATGAAAAAAGAGGAGACTACAAATTCTTGTAGTCCCAAAAAGTGAACATTACAAAATTTTGTAATGAAAAAGCGGACAATACAAACTTTTGTGGTAAAAGAAATCAGGCACTACAAAATTTTGTACTCTTAAAAAGAGNGATACTACAAATTTCTGTAATAAAAGNTGGACAGGACNAAACTCTTTAATGAAAAAGAGGACACTACAAATTTTTG